AATAGAATAGAATAGAATAGAATAGAATAGAATAGAATAGAATAGAAGAATAGAATAGAATGGGAATGGGAATGGAATGGAATGGACACACAAGGAATTTGTCTTTGGTGCATTTGTCTCAGTGTACATAAAAAGACAAGATACTTGTCAAGAATCATAGGGTACAAATAAGCAATCAGGAAGCAATCAATATCAATATAAGGATACAAGCAACAAAGTTACAGTCATGTAGTCATAAGTGGGAGGACATGGGTGATAGGAACAATGAGAAGACTAATAGTAATAATAATGCAGCCTTAATGAATACTTCGACAGTTGTGTGGGAATTATTTGTTTAGCAGGGTAGGAGTTGAAACAATTTATGTCCAGGATGTGAGGCATCTGTAGATATTTTCACAGCCTTCTTTTTGACTTGTGCAGTATAATGCAGGTCTTCAATGGAAGGCAGAATGGTAACAATTGTTTTTTCTGCAGTTCTAATTATCCTCGGAAGTCTGTGTTTTCCCTTTCCTAAGGTGGACCAGTCTATATCTTTTAGGAGTTGAATAAAACTTAATTTAGATAATAACTAACAATGTAGCCATATGGGCAAGTATCAAGTCTTGAAACCTATCAAGTAACAAATGAAGTAATTATGTCAACGTGGAGTATTTTCCATCAGCAATTATGCACAGAATGTTATGGGAAATAAAAGGAATACAAAACCTTGTGCAAAATTTAAACCAGGGATTTCTCATTTTGTGAACAAAGAACTGGAATTAACTAGTTGTGGGATTAATGGGGCAACAGTGCCATAGTTCATTTGGATCCCCCAAAGTAAATCCCAGAAAAGAAAATGACATGCAATACTTGAATACATTTTGACGACAAATGTATATTAGATTGTCAAAAGTTATTTTTGATTGAAATGTGAATAATTTTTTTCAAGCTTCCTGTGCATCATGAACTTGCTAAAGAAGACCGTTCATCTCCAAATGCTGGACATCTCTCTTATAAGGTAATGTTCATTTCTACATCAATGGAAGGTATATGTGTGTGTGTATAATATGTTTAGTCATCTAACTTTTTATAATTTTAAATTGTGGAGATGTACTTTTTTATGGTGGATCAAGTTGAGAATATCTATGCAGAATGCATAAATGAAGAAGAAACTGGCAAAGTTCATTTATCTCCAGTGCAGTTAATAACTCCCCTGAGGGTGCAAAGCAAACAGCAGGTATAAAGTGCAAAGAAAACAGCAGGTATAAATTTCAATAATTAAACACTATTCTAGGGATACAAAATTGCCTAGAATACATATCCCAATCCCAAATATAATTTTTGCAGCATAGTAAGAGTCCGTTAAGTATTTTATCATGTTGGAATCCTTCGAATATTTAATAAAAGACCCTTAGATGGCTGAGGCAGCATATGAACTAAACAAACAAAAAATCTTCCAAAAACATGTTGTGTTTTAGAACGGTAACTGTCAAAGGGATTCAGTGTTACTGTCACTCCTACTTTGTTAACATCTAGAAGAATTAGAAAATATGAAAAACAAGGAGAAAGGAATATTGAATTTAAAGTACCCAAAGCAGATTATGCAAAGGTGATTTTGATTTTAATGATGTATACACTGTATTGGCTTATTAATTTTCAATAGAATTGGCTGTATTAAAATCTAAATTGATTCCTCTTCGCGTTTGGGAATTTTGTATTTGAAATCAGTGAAGAGAGTCACTGTAACTCAGCAATTGATGTTCCAAAGGTCAGTTCAGTGGCTCGAGATATGATAGAATATCAGTTATTCGTAATTTCCAAATTGTGTTGTGTTTTTAAGGAGTCAGCTAATATGCAGAAGATTACTGATCCAAGTGTTCCTCATGCAATAGTACTGCATAATTTCACAGCAGGTAAGAAGTGACATCAGAGTAAATGGAAATATAGTTTTTGCTTTTTGAACGATTCTTAATATGCTTTGGTTTACTTTCTGCAGCATGCTAAAATTTGTATTCCTTAGTCCTCCTGATCTTAAAGCTTAGCTTGTTAGTTGCCATGTCCTGACATTAAATTCAAAGCCTTTTGCTTCTGGAAAATTCCTTGGTGCAAAGATTGGTGGGAAGAAAAATATTAGCAGATGTTTGAAGCCTCTTTCCTCAATTATTTCAATTTCACTTCTTTTTCCCTTTGGTTTTTCTGCTTAGGTTGCTTTCTTCTCCGCAGAGAGTCTTATTGCTGTCTTTTTAACTGCTTAGTAAAACTCAGAGCATTGACCTTTAATGCTGTTAGCTGCCTGTTCCTTTGCTCTACATTTATGTAATGTATTGTAGCTACCAAAAATAGAGTTTAGCCTAAGTGAGATTTGATTTCTGATTTGGTAAACTAAACCAGTTTTATTTTTTATTTTTACATAGAGCATACTGATGATTTGGACCTTAGTACAGGAGACACAGTTTTTCTCTTGGAAAAAATAGATGATGAGTGGTACAGAGGAAAATGCAAGAATCGTACTGGGATTTTTCCTGCTAGCTTTGTTAAAATTATTGTAAGTATATTTCTCATTTCAAGTGGAATATAGTGCATTTCATCTGGGTTTGCATTTGAGTTCTAATTTAATTTTTCCCCCTGTGCATTTTATTGAGCATATCATGTAGTTAAATCTTGCTTGAGTGCCCAAAGAAGATATGTTTTTTGTAACATGCAGCAAATCTATTTAAATTTGCAACTGACTTGATCTTTATGGTTTTCATTTTTACAATAAATTGAAATTGTGAGAATTATTAACCTATTAATAATTTTATTAACCTATGCTTAATTTCAGCTGGTATATTAATAGTCTAACAGCTACACTGGATTAACACTAACAATCTCACAACTACATTATTGCTTCACAGTTTGTGTGATTCTGAGGATAATTCAAAAGTGTCAAGCCGCACAGAGCTGATATTAGTAAGAAAGCAAGAACAACATCGGTTTCACAAGAGTGTGTCTGGTGTTAGTTTGGTATAAATAGATAATTTTTCAATACTGTAATACGATTTTTCAGCTTTCATTATAGTGAGCTAATTAAAGTGAAGTCTTTAAACCATCTTTCCCTGAAATTTCCTTAGAGATGCAATTACCGTATTTTTCGCAGTATAAGACGCACCAAGATTTTGAAGAGGCAAATTAAAAAAATAGGTAGAGGGATAAAGAGAGAGAGAAAGACAGAAAAATACCGTAGGTAGGTAGGGAGAGAGAGAGAGTAGGTAGGTACATAGGTAGATAAAAGGGGGGAGAGAGAAATACAGTAGATAGGAGAGAGAGAGAGAAGGTAGGCAGATAGATGTTTCCAGGTGTATTTATCCATGGGCTGGAGAAGGAAATCTCTGACAATCTGCAGCACCTAACACTTTGTTTCTGCTGGCATAGCATTTGATCAATGTAATTCTCATCAATCAGTTAAAGAACTTTCCAAAAGGGAAAAAAAAAGTTTTTACACTCTGCAAACCTCCCAAAACTGACCCATTTTTCGTGAAAACTGTCCTGTTTTTTTTTTCCCAACAAAAGCATGAATAGCTTTGTGGGGGCTTGCAGAGTGCTCCTGGGGGGGCGCAAAAATGAGCAAAAAACGGCCTGTTTTTCGCAATTTGTCAAAAGAATTCCATGCCTAGCCTTAGGGGGCTTATAAAGTGCTGCTGGGGACTGGGGGTTTCCATTTCTTACTTCTTATCCTGACTTCAGATGCTTTGGAGAACAGGTTGATTGCCTCTTATCTGTGACAGCCCCTCAAATATTAGAAAATTGCTATCATGTCACCCCAGTCCTTTTCTTTGCTAGACTAGATAGATACCCAGCTTCTGCAGCCATTCTTTAGTTTTAGCCTCCAGCTCCCTAACCATCTTTGTTGCATTTGTAGAACATTTTCCCTCCTTTTTTTCTCACCTGGCCACAGTATTTTCAAGTCTATGGTTAGTCGGAGTTCTTGCTGTCAGAGAAACAGCAGTGGGACTCTCCAGCAATTGCAAAACATTAAGAATATCATACTAGAGACTCTGGGTAACATATTATTACAATTATATTCTTACTTTTTTTCTTTTGTATAAATATAATGGTAGCATTTGAGACATATATTTTTGGGGTGACGAAAGGAAAAAAAACCCTGCTGAAGTGAATAATGTTTAAACAACAATGCTAACCGGTATGAAGTGAAAAAAATAGACCACAGTGTCAATTAGGAGCAGAAAACAAAAGCAACAATAATTTTTAAAATTTCAAAATATGTTGATTTTCGTCATTATATGAACAAACAAGAGAGGATTGCTAGTATAAAATTTGCAGTTAAGCCCAAGAAATGAAAATCAGAAAGAAGTACAGTGGGGCATCTTCTAATATACTGACTGAAGAAAAATGACAACAAAGAAAACTTCTTACTAAATTATTGCAAATGCTCAGGAAAAGAAAAGAAATATGAAAAGAAACAGAACTGCAGTTTTACCAAGCAAGTTTGATAAAAATTAGGCTTGCTGTTCAAATTCAAAGGCTAAGAGAAAGCACAACAATATTCCTATGTTGGCTTTATAACAACTTCTTTTTAAAAAATCCTGCCTTTATTATTTTTATTAATACAGGTAATCCTCGACTTGTGATCACAATTGAGCCCAAACTTTCTGTTGTTAAGTGAGTTTTGCCCCGTTTTATGACTTTCCTTGCCAAAGTTGTTAGGTGAATCACTGCAGTTGTTAAGTTAGTAACAGGGTTGTTAAGTGAATCTGGCTTCTCCATTGACTTTGCTTGCCAGAAGGTTGGGACACAGCAACGGTCATAAACATGAACCACTTGTCAAGTTACTGAATTTTGGTCACATGACCATGAGGATGCTGCAGTGGTCGTAAATGTGAAAAGTGGTATAAGTCACTTTTTTCATTTCATTTAATTTGTAACTTCAAATGGTCACTAAATGAACTGTTGTAAGTCAAGGACTACCTGTAACTCAAGGCAGCAAACATACCTCATAATTCCTCCTCCTATTTTTCCCACAACAACCCAGTGAGGTTGGTTGGGCTGAGAGATAATGATTGGCCCAAAGTTACCCAGCCTGTTTTTATGCCTAAAATGGGACTAGAACTGGCAGTGTCGTGATTTCCAGCTTAGCAATAGCAATAGCACTTAGACTTATATACTGCTTCATAGTGCTTTTACAGCCCCCTCTAAGTGGTTTACAGAGTCAGCATATTGCTCCCAACAATCTGGATCCTCATTTTACCAACCTTAGATGGAAGGCTGAGTCAACCTTGAGCCGGTGATGTTTGAACTGCTGAACTGCAGCTAGCAGTCAGCTGAGATAGCCTGTAATACTGTACTCTAACCACTACGCCACCTCGGCTCTTGCTTGCTGCCTTAACCACTAGACCAGGGCTTTCAAATTCTCGGCTTGCAAGCCGGATGCGTCACATGCTGGCCACACCCATACCCGGTTTAGTGAAGGGGAAAATAATCACGATACATCACCTGATGCTGCCATGACACCACTGCACTCGACCAAACTAGTGACTGGGTTTTCAGGAACTCAAAAAGAGCAGCTTTCACCAGCCAATATCTACACAATTCTTGACTGCAAGAAGTCAACTGTGCTGTCACAAACATTGCAACCTATTTGTTGGTCTGGGCCAGCCTTAATGGCTGTCTTCTGAAACTGGTACAATCCAGGATAAAAATGTATTTGGTTTAAACAGCTGCAACTCCTTGATAATAGTACACCTTCCTGCACTTCAAAACTTTTTCTGACCTTTGAAGGAGGGAATAGAGCCCTAATAATTTTTTCAAAAGAAATTAATTAAGTACATAGATAAAGTAGTTAAACGTTTCTATTGTCTCCTTTCTAGATTGATACTCCAGGAGAAAATAGCTGGAAAAAAGAGCAGCTTTCACCAGCCAATATTGTGTAAGTTTTCATAGAAGTGTTGACATTGCGGTCTTGAACATACAGATTTATTTTCCATTCATAAAAGGTATTCTGGCTACCACTCACAGCAAGTAAAATCCTGACTTGGAGACTTGAAACAGAGAATAATTCTGGGAAAGAGAATTATAAAATGGCATACCATAGTACATTACAAAACAAAATCACATAATTTAGTTTAAGGATTTTAATTTTTTAAATATTTATGGTTTGTGTGGCTTGACTAATTGGAAAAATATTTATTGAAAACTGTTTTCTTGTCTATGCTGTTTGATTTCTATAAACTATTTTTAAAAACTATTTTTAAAAAACTTCTTCTTTTTCTTCAAAAGCAATGTTAACATATAGTAAAGAATATATTTGTGTATAGAATATAGATGTTATTTTCTCCTGTAAATTAAGGTAAATGACAAACGGCATATCTCAGGTCTTTTGGAGACTAGCTATATTGTTTATAACTCTCTTTGTTAGACCATTAACCACTGTTGGTGGTATCCAGATCTCATTGTCTTGATGTCTAAAATAGCTTACTCTCTTGAAATCTCTTTCTCTCCAATCACTCCTTTCAACAGCAGTAGGAGAATGGTAAGGCAAAGGAGACATTGTGTAAAAATGCATTTCTCCCCCCCCCCAGCCGCCAACCCCCACCCCATCCCCCAGACAAGAGAGACTGGAAAGAAAAATGCAATACAAGCTGTTTGCATAGGTCACCAATGGCTCCCTGACAAAGGCTACAACTGGGATCAAATTGCTTTCAATTACACAAGAGCAAACAGCCAAATTCTCTTGCAATCTATTCTTTCCCAATTTCTCTGCTCTGCAGAGATCAGCAACAATCACATGACAGGAATTCTGCAAAGATTGTAAATGGACCTTAAAGTTATGTTTTCAGCACCGTCATAACTTAGAATGGTTGCTGAAAAAATTATCAATAAATGAGCACTAACTGTATTAATCCTGGAATATCTAAAATTGATATTTACTATATCTACTACAGATACAGATACAATATATGATAGAAATATATATATATTGTGGGCAAAAAAAAAAGACTGCGCAGTGTATATTTCTTTGAAGTTCTAGTAGAGAAAACATTCAAACAATAAATATATGATACAGGACTAACAACAAATATAAAAACATGAGCCTAAATGATGTAAAATGGTTTTACTTTTTTTGTGTTAATAGTGAATATATATTTTATGCAATGAACTCAGAAGAATAAGTGAAACGAACGTAAGAATGATAGTTTTCCTTTTACTATTTTTCCTTTCTTTGCTATTTTAGAGGCCCAAGATGTAGAGCTAGATTTGAATACATTGGAGACCTGAAAGATGAATTAAGTTTTTCAGAAGGTGAAGTTATTATTTTAAAAGGGTATATTAATGAAGAATGGGCCAAAGGAGAGCTGAGAGGTACTTCTGGAATTTTCCCCTTAAATTTTGTGGACGTTATTGAAGATCTACCTGAATCAGGTAAAAACACTAACCAACTGGTGAACAAAAAACAGCATCTCACAGTAGTTAATTAATGTGATCAAAATACTTTAATAATAAAGACAGTTAGATGTTTGGATATAGAAGAACATATAACAAAATTAAAAATTCTTATCATTGATTTTTTATGTATTATATAAATCAGTATTTTTGCATATTGTTGTATTATTGGTCATGCTGTGTCTGTGTTAATATGAAAGCACAATTTTAAACATGTATGCGACAGGTACACAATACAGTATCAGCTGAATCTTCGCACTTCTACAAAATGTTATAGTAGGTGTTGTGCAGGTAATCCTCACTTACAACAGTTCATTTAATATCTGTTCAAAGTTACAACGGCAATGAAAAAAGTGACATGACTGTTTCTCACACTTACAACCATTGCAGCATCACCATGGTCACATGTATCAAAATTCAACAGCTTGGCAACTGACTCATATTTATGGCAGTTGCCGTGTCCCAGGATCGCGTGATCATCTTTTGCAACCACCTGACAAGTAAAGCCAATGGAGAGAGCAGATTGACTTAATAACCATGTTACTTAATGTAACTATTGCAAAGATTCACTTAACAATGCTGACAAGAAAGGTTGTAAAATGGGACAAAACGCACTTAACAACTATCTTGCTTAGCAACCCAATGTTTGGCCTCAGTTGTAGTCACAGGTTGAGGTATGTGTATGTGTATGCATACTATACTAGGGTTAGGTTGCATTAAGGAACCATTCAATGCATTCTGTCGTATCATTCAATCCTAAACTGTAGAGTCCCCAAAATACTTGGTCAAAGAATGACAGAAATCACATGCTTCCTCTTATGCTTGTTTAGAAGGTAATTTGAGAAAAGTCACTCCTAAAATGTATTTTTCTATATTACTCAGTGGATTACTCAGTGCAACAATAGGGTGTGATACCATATATTTTTTTATAGTGAATCAAATTATGTGAAGAAACTATGTTTCCTTTACATTATGTATAAATATAATCCAGATATTCAGAGAAACATCTGCCGTTTTTAGAGCTAAGATAGATAAACGCACACACACACACACACACACACACACACACACACACCTTCTGAGGTCGGTTTCACAAATCACACAAAAGTGAGAGATAACCCTGTTTTGTTAAATAAACCTCATGTGGCTGAGTTCACTGGACACACTGATTCAATGATAAAGTGGCTTATACAATTTATAAATCGGTTAATTATAGTTTATTAACCACAATGGGTTTCCAATCTGCAGAGTGTAAAACAAACAACGTTACTGGTTAGTGTGGTAAATGAATCCAGCCATTATGTGGCTTGGATTTTCAACAATTGTTTCGTGGAATGTTTTTCTCTTTATGTATTATGTTATGATCTTTTATCTAGGTGATGGCAGTTTCCCGCTGAGGAGGAAACATTCAGGATCAATGACACAGGTAATGTATTTATCGTTTTATAGCATGTAATCAGGAGTGGGCTGCTCTGGGTTTGCCCAGGTTCGGGTGATCCTCTAGTGAAGATTCTGTGCAGTTTGGCAAACCCCCAAATCCCACCTCTGGCTGGTCCAACCCACCCACCCCCCTCCCAGCAATTTCCACACGGCACATTTTGGATGTTAGGTAAGCACAGGAGCCTCAAAAAATGGGCCTCCCGGAAGGCCAGAAATGGGCCTATTTCCGGCCACCAGGAAGCCTCTGGAGCCTGTGGGAAGCCATTTCCACCTTCCGGGAGACTCAGGAAAAGCCCCCAGAGCCTGGGGAAGGCAAAAACACTTCCTCCCGCTGTGGTGCAAGATACTGCCTGGGCCTCGCCCACTCAGCAACTGGGCAGAGAACACATTGCTTAAATTTTTGAAGCCCACCCCTGCATGTAATCAATCAGATGCAATCTTTTATTCTAATATACATGATTAGAAGAAACAAAAAGATTCACCAACTTTTCTTTGTTCATTGCAGGTTAAAGATTAATTTTTCTAATCTGTTAATTAATGGCACTAAAGTAATTAATCTGTTTTAAGCCTATTAAATGATGTGTATAGAATTCATAGGATAGACAGTGTTGTTTTCTCAGTAACACCAGAAAGTTTATAAAACTTACATGCCTATGTTTTCTTTGTTTTCAAAGCTGGAAGGAGAAACTGGACAGTGGTGTGATGCTCTTCATGACTTTGCAGCAGAAACACAGGAAGATTTATCATTTAAAAAAGGAGATCGTATTTTGATATTAGAACAACTGGATTCAGAGTGGTATAGAGGCAGGCTAAATGGAAAGGAAGGCATTTTCCCAGCTGTGTTTGTTCACCTTTGTTCAGGTACAGTGCTGAAAGAAAAGCGGAACTGTTTTCATCCTGTTGTACAAGCTATAAAGATACGGGTGGTCCTTGATTTGCAATTGTAATCGAGACACAATTTCCTTTATAGGTCATGATGGTCATAAACTGGCTCAATTTTACAACCTTTTTTGCAACAGTTATTAAAGGGAACATGATAGTCATAAAACGAATACTGTGGTTGTAAAGCAAACGCTGTAACTGTAAAGTGAACTCATTGTTCTCTAGGGGGCGAGTTCTAGTCCTACTCTAGGCATGCAGCTGGCTGGATGATTTTTGGCCAGTCACTCTCTCTCTCAGCCCAATCTACCATACAAGTTGTTGTTATGGGAAAATAAGAGGAGGGTGGAGTATTAATATGATCACTGCCTTGAGTTATTTACAAAGTAATAAAGGCGGGATAAAAATCAAATAAATAAATTCTCTGTGATACAAGTAGCATATGCCTTCTTCACTTACTTACTTGCAAAGGATAATTATCATAAATGCTTTTTCTGCTATTTCATACAGAAAATCATGATACCCACAGTCTGCCCTCATAAATTACATAGAATATATTGCAATGATTTAATAGTTCATTTACTGTATTCTGGTAGTGTGCCTAGTGTACCTTGTAAACTGATCATGAGCACACCCTGGTGGTAAAATCTGGAATGGTTAAATATGTCAATTAGATCCCCCTAGTGACTTGATTAGTAAAACACTTTTTTTAATAAATACAACTAGGGTTTTTTTCCCCAGAGGAAAAAGGCATAAGTTAAACTTGCAGTGTATGTGCCATGAAAATGAGTTGTGCTTTTCATTCCCTTCACTCAGTTAACCTCAAACCTGATTAAGATATTTGCCCAAAAATTTTTTTTTTCTTATATTATCCCAAAGATAGAAACTTAATTGGATCGTGGTATCTTACAGGTGGAATGCAGTCATCAGAATCTCAGGGAGGGAAGAAACCAAAAGCCAAGGCCCTGTATGACTTCCAGGCAGAGAACATAGATGAACTTTCTTTCAAAGTAAGCATATTTAAACATACAATTCTGTAGTGATAGACATTATATTTTATTATTGTGAAAAATACTGTCCTACATTTCTCCTGCAGCATAAAAGTTAGGGAAATTGTTGCAAAGTGGTGTTTATTTTGGGTTGATAATAAGTTTCTTCTTTTTAATACTGCAAAAAATTCTGTTTGAGAGAAAATAATTAAACAACCTATAGACAAATCCACTGTTGGACTTAAGATGATCTTGATTTAGTGTGATGCATGAACCAGCCAGAACATGGTATCTGTTTTTGTAATGAACTGAATGCAACTGAAAAGTGGGCTGATATTCTGTTATAAATTATTATAATCTATAAAAAATACTTCAGTGAAACTTAGCCACTTAATTTTTTTCTCTAAGAAATTATCCAACTGCAAAGCTTCTCGCTGACCCAACTTTAAAACACTTTTCCTAAAGAATATGAGGCCTACTTTGAAATGTTTTTCATTTGACATATTAAGACATTTTGTTTATCTAGTATAAAACACTGTTTTCTTATCAGTTCTTTTGATCTGATGTAAAACTAATTTAAAAATGAACAACTATGACTTGGGAGAAGAAAAGAGTCCACAGTTTTTTAAGAGTATTAAATATTTGTGAAAGATATTATGAAAAACAAATAATGTTGGTTTCAATTTTTCTTTCAACAGGTTGGTGATATCATAACAAGTGTAGAATCTGTAGATGAAGAATGGATGAGTGGAGAATTACAAGACAAATTTGGAATATTTCCAAAGAATTTTGTTCAAATTCTACATCTTTCCTAAGGTGAAATCCAATTCTGGAACATTGTTGTACAAGTGAATACGCTGGAAGAAAACCGCGCTATATTCTGGGCAGCGGAGAAAGAGTGCTATCTGTGATCATTTTATCTAGACTATCAAATGCATTTTTGCACTATTTTTGAAAAAATGTTTACTAGACTGTATAATATTTCGTTTTTAGTTTATACTGAGCGTCAGACCCTGGGCAGAATACGAAGCCTTATTATTTCAACTTGGTGCATTTTAATCATTTTATATACTTTCTGTGGGGGTGCAATGGTTCAGCAATTAAAGATGCTGACAGCCCGGGTTTGAGACCTCAGTGCAATGCAACAGGGTAAGCTCCTGTCACCTGCTCCAGCTTCTGACCACCTAGCAGTTTGAAAGCATGCAAATGTGAGTAGATAAATAGGTACCACTTCAATGGGAAGGTAACAGTGTTCTGTGTGCCTCAGTACATAGTCATGCTGGCCACATGACCACGGAAATGTCTTCAGCCAACGCTGGCTCCCTCAGTTATGAAACAGAGATGAGCACCTTCCCCTACAGTTGGAAACAACTGGAAACTTTTGCCTTTACTTTTTATTCTTTCTGTGATGTCCAATTAATTATTAAACACTGCTCAAATAGCTCTTGTTTTTACAATACATATCCCACACACATCCCAAAACTTGTGAGTCAGGTTTTCAGAAACTGAAATGTTTTACCATATGGACATTAAATCCTGATACATAAATAAGATTATCATGGTAAAAGTAGTGGGTTTTTTCTTTACTTAAACCAGTGTTTTTCAACCACTGTGCCGCGGCACACTAGTGTGCCGTGACATAGTGTAAGGTGTGCCATGGGAAAA